GTAAATATCTTTCTGGTATTTTCTGCTTTCATACATCATTCACCCAATGTCAGCCATAATATCTCTAGTTCCAAATCCTATTCTGAATCTAGCTTGAATATATGCCAGTTCACTACTGATGCACTGTTGCAACATTTTTTTAAATAACTACTAAAAATTTTTATTTTCATGTGCTGTTAATGATATTGTTCAATGATTTTTACAACACACTGGGTGACTTTTTTTGGATATTGTCATAAAAAATGGGTCTCTTCCAAATGGTTGGCCAGGTAACTGGCGTCCAAATTTCTTGGCATAGATAGGTGAGCACCCCCAAAGCATCACTAGACCTCTTCTATAGATTTTTCATCTTAAAATGTCTATGACATTCTACTATTCTTTAACCCAGTGTCTCTGGAGGGTATGTACAAAAACAGAAAATTAACACAAAAAAGGAGAGTTCTGAGTAGTACAGCGGTTGGTTTGCTACAACCAAAAAACATTGCTGAAATTATTGTACTATTAGATACTCAAGTGTGAACACTTGCCAATTTGCATGTACTAATTATTAATCCAACTCGATGGCACTTAACAACAACAACAACAACAATTATTAATTTATTTAATTCAAATACACACAATGCTGGATACCTGTTACTTGAATAATCCTATTTTTAATTTTTTAAAAACTATTGCAGGCACATGGAGTCACAGAATCAAACAGGCGTCTCACAATTCTTCCTTCTGGGCCTTTCTGAGGATCCAGAACTGCAACCCCTACTCTTTGAACTGTTGCTGTCCATATACCTGATCACAGTTTGTGGGAACCTGCTCATCATCCTGGCTGTCAGCTCTGATCCGCATCTCCACAGCCCCATGTACTTCTTCCTCTTCAACCTGTCCTTGGCTGACATTGGTTTCATCTCCACCACAGTTCCAAACATGCTGGTCAACATCTACACACAGAGCAAATCCATAGCCTATGTGGGCTGCCTGACACAAGCATCCTTTACTTATTTCTTTGCAGGTCTGGACAGTATGTTCCTCACTGTGATGGCTTATGACCGTCTTGTGGCCATCTGTTACCCTCTTCACTACACAATTATCATGAACCCCCGACTCTGTGGTTTGCTAATTTTGGTATCATTTCTTATCAGCCTTCTGGACTCCTTACTACACATTTCAATGGTGTCACAGCTTACCTTCTGTACAGATGTGGAAGTCCCTAGTTTCTTCTGTGACCCTCCACAACTCCTCAACCTTGCCTGTTCTGACACCTCCACATATAGCATATTGGTGTATTTTTTTGCTGCTATCTTTGGTGGCATTCCAGTCTCTGGGATCCTTTACTCTTACATTCGAATTATTTCCTCCATTCTGAAAGTCTCATCATCAGGTGGAAGATATAAAGCCTTTATCACCTGTGGCTCTCACCTGTCAGTTGTGTGCTTATTTTATGGAACAGGACTTAGGTTGTACTTCAGTTCAGCTGTCACATCTTCTGCCAGGGAGGATGCAGTGGCCTCAGTAATATATGCCGTTGTCACTCCCATGCTGAACCCCTTCATATATAGCCTGAGGAACAAGGATATAAAGAGAGCCATAAGGAGGTTCCTCACCAGAACAAGCTAATCTCAACATTTGTGCCATATTCACTGGCATATGGCTTGGAAAAGATGGAAAACTTAACATCTGCAATCAGAAATCTTGTCTGTTTGGTTTCAGAATTTTTGTTCCTCTCAAAGTTTTCAATATTAACGTTTTAAACATGAACACTGCTTCCTTTGTCACATCTTTACTATGATACTGGGAGTATTCTGGGACATGTTGATTGGCAGGTTCCAATTGTTCTGGTAGTATAGTGGTTACAGATCAGGTGGCTAACCCCAAGGTCAGTAGTTTGAAACCTCCAGCTGTTCCACAGGAGAAAGATGAGGCTTTCTGTTCCCGTAAAAATGTGCAACCTCAAAAACCCTGTGCAGGGTCACTATGAGTCAGAACCAACTCCACAGTACTTAACAACAGCAATGCTATTCTAGCTATGTCCCTTTCTGTAGCTTCTCATCTATGATCCAGATTTACTGGTAAAATGCACAACTCTATTTCTCCTTATGTAGAATGTTCATCCTGTATCTTAGTTAATATTTATCATCCAGAGTCTAACAGAACAATATATGTATGAAAATAAGTCACTGGTTCCAAATCTTGACTTCATATGGAAATCACATGGGAAGCTGCACAGTATTAATGCTTGGTTCCAGCTCTTACAGATCATGGTTTACACTACATGTGACTTGATCATAAGAGTTTTAAAGCACCACAGGTGATTTTAATTTACATCCAAGCTTAAAACTCATCTTCTTAGAATTTTCTTTCAAAGCTAACTAGATTTTCCTGAATCTTTTACTCCTCCTGAGCAAATACGGAGGATCTCAAAGTGATCAGATCTCACAAGGGAAAAATTATCCCTGTGTATCTCTTGAACTGGCTTCCTGACACATGGTGACTCCATTCACTACAGAAGAAAACGCTTCCCAGTCCTGCACCATCCCCTTAATCAGCTGTGGATCAGACTATTGTGATACATAGGGTTGTTACTGGATTATTTTTAGAAGTAGATTTCTAGGCTTTTCATACTATGTCATCTTAGTGTGGAATCTCTGATGGAGCATGTTTAACATTTGACAACGTGCTAGACTCTAAGGATAGTTGCTGGCAGTACATTAGGTACATTGGTTGAAAACCAAGTCTTTCTTCCAAATGGAAGGTAAAAATTCTATCAATGAGCCTCTGCCCTGAACACCATGAAGTTGTCCATATGTGTTCATTCTTAAATATTATCACTCTTTTATACTTTGTTATGTTAGGACCAGAAAGGGGAGCATCTTTAAACCACTGTTCTGATTTACCATCTGGTTTTATTGTTAGGTTCTTCCAATAATTATCAGTAAATGTCACTACACTCAAATAAACTTGACATTTCCTTTATTCTTGTTTCCTTAACCTTTGGTGTGGTAGCTTTTCTTTCTGTAGTTACTGTCTCTTTATTTCTGCATTGCTCTTTTTATCCTGTCACTCCTTGTATAATTATTTTACCAACTTCCTATATTAAATGCTTCGCATGGTGTACTCATTCCAGGAATTCAAAAAGAACTTAATCTTACAAATTGATATTATGCATTATACAAAACATGTTTCTCTATAACCTCCTGTTCTCTAGTTGTGGTAACAAAAGCACTCATCTGAGAGAATGGTTAACAGTAAGCAAATTAAAAACAAACTAGTTGGAAAAGTGTTTAGTACATAGAGATGAGTCAATAAGTAAACACCATAAGTATAGGCCAAAAGAATAGTTCAACTACCACAGTTTTATGGAAAAAGTACACATTTCCATATTGTACAACTTCTCATATATTATTTTCAAAAGGACACTATATCAATACTTTGCATTTTGATGACATCATTTTTTTTTTTTTTTCCTGTCCAATGAGTTTAATCTTTAGTCTTCATCTTGGTTTCTTTTGATATGGAAGTCTGTTCCTAACAGCCGGCCCTACCTGCCTACCAGAGACTTTCTCTAACTCCCCTCTCCTGATGGGTTTCTGTCCGGGGCTGGCCTC